TTCTTTCTTGGTTGTATGACAGTGCCATCCAATTTGGTTCTGGTTTCCAAGTGTTGAGACTTGTGACCAAGGATTCTAAACATCCTGGAGGAGATTCGTTTTTTTTGCTTTGTTTTTACTACACCTAGCCAGGCTGCGGTCGCAATGGTTGCTTTGCAAGGTTATTGTTTCATGAACACGATCTATAGTCGGCTCATTTAAGGCTGCAATTTGCTGGGCTTCCCTGATTTCCTCCTGTTGTCCAGATTTCCAGCCGCCTAACTTCCTTATTTCCAGCAGTTCGACTTCTCTGATTTTCTGCAGGTCCTTACTACTGGAGGTGCAACTGTCCCGCTGCCTTTACCTCAAGTCCTTCCCATTGTTTTTTGGCCCTTGTTCCCTGCAACAATCCTACTTCCTGGTTTTCAGCAGTCTGACTTTCTAATTGACTTGCTTGGTGCCACCGCATTGGTTTCCATTGCGATCAACTCGTCTCTTCTCTCGTCGCTTTCGATCTTATCGACTTGGGTGGCGATGCCGGGAGCTCTGGGGGTGATGGCTTATCCGTGGTACTCTGATGGTGTAGTGAGGGCTTTGGGTGAATATATTACTGAGCAAGGGGATTGTCTAGTGATGGCCTAAACCTAACTTTCTATGCAGTTAATGCAATGGTTTATTTAGTGAAGATTCCTCTTTTCGTGCTGCTCTTTGTTTCCTTCTTTATAGTGGAAGTTTTTTTTCTCTGTTGTTGTAGCGCTTTTCTGTCGAATCAAAAGAAAGACACAAGAAATTACATATGCGACAACTGCATGTTTAGTGGTTTCTTGATTAGACACATCATGTTGTGCTTTAATGCATTTGACAAAGTTCCAGATATTGATGCATCAACCTCCTCTGGAGCTTTTCTTGTAGCAGACCCTTCCTACGGAGCTTTTTCTCTATAGCAGGCTCTCCTTCGGAATCTTTTGTGCAACAGACCTTCATCTGGAGCATTTCATTTTTTTTTGCAAGCCATACCTTGCAGTCTTTTCTCGTTGGTAGTCCTCTTTTTTGCAAACTTCCCTGCAACATTACCTGTAAGAGCCTTCCGTCAACCTACAGATACGGCTGGAACTGCAGTCAAAGATAACTACAATTAACTAGAAGTTAGCTTTCTTACAGTTTGTCTACTTCCCTGCAAACTCCTCTGGAACATTAACTATAGGGGCATTCCTCCTACCTAAAGATACTACAGGAACTGCAGTCTAAGATTACCGCATTTGTCTACTTCCCTAGAAACTCTCCTGTAACATTACCTGTAGGAGCCTTTTGCCCACCTACAGACAGGAACTGTAGTCAAAGTCAACCGTAGTACGAGATGAAGACTTCAAGTTCTACTTGATGGGATCTCTCTCGCCCATTATTTGATGGTTTTAAATCTAAGTTGAACATGATTTTTAAACATGTTTTAACTTGAAGGGGAGTGGTATAAGTTATATTAGGAAATAATCAGTTCCTGTGAGAAGTTATGAGGAATACATTATTTTGTGAGATTAGGAGTTATTTCTTTTTTTATTTTATATTTATTACTTAGATTAGGAGTTATTTCCTTTTCTATTTTAAGTTTTATCATTTTATGTTATTTTCTTTATCTCCAAATAATTAATATAAATTAATTATTGAAGATATTAGGTGATATATTTTCCTTTCATATTATTTTTCTTTTATTATATTTGCTATTATATGATTCATGTAAATGATTACTTATGCCCCCATTTATTTTAATGAAATATCCCGTTTAATTTCGCATTATTCTGAATTCTAATACACACACACATACATACATACATACATACATACATACATACATACATACATACATACATAATTTTTATTTCCAGACCTGCCAACTTGAAGGGGCTTTCAAGTTAATGTGGATCTTGTTGTAAATGAGAAGTCAATTTCTAGAGCTAGACCTTTTCATCTTTAAAAAAAAAAAATCTTTTTTTTTCAAATTTAAGCGACTTGCTTGAAACAACTAACTTGAATGAAATTTTACCAAATTCTTTTTGAAGTACTAGATATCACTCAATGAAATATCTTTAAAAGTATCGTTGAATTAAGTGATCAAACATCAAGTTTCTTAATTATAATTTGGAGCCAATTTTGTCATTTCTTGACCATTGTTTAATACGGAGTATGAAATGCGGATAATGAATGCTTGAATTATAAATGTCGATTTTCAGTTCTCTGAGTAATGAGGTTTAAAGCCTAGTGTGAATTCAAGATCAATTACCAAATTTCAGCTGGTGATTTGAAACGTCGAATATTAATAAATGCTTGCTAAATTTTAAAATGAGTAATTGATGAGTTCTCTGAGTAATCAATTTTGAAGTCAGTTGATTTGTTGATTTATAAGATCAAGTTATAATTTTTGCTAGATAATATCTAAATTTCTTTAGCAAATTATTGTAGAGAATTATTAAAAAGTTCCCCAAACATAAGATGCACCAACAATCAGATTTTGTTTTTGCATAGAAATCAAACAAAAGCGTCTTAGTATTCACTAACTAAAACAATGTAATTTAAATTAGCTTTCATAAAGTATTTTCTTTTATTCTTCTACTTAAGGTATTTTCCTCTTATCTAAATATATAATGTGGGGGTGACTTGATTTCTTCTTTCATTTTTATTTTCTAGTCGTTTGCCTTGTTGAGTTATAACAATTTTTTTATCTTTCTAACTTTGATGAGTTCCTTAACTAGGCTATGTAGATGTCGTTAATTTTCTTTCTAATGACCATGATATTTATGAAAAGTAAATATTTTATTACTTCTCGAGCATGTGTTTGAGCATATAATGAGGGTTATTAACATAAATATAATTTTTCTTTAATCACATTTACCAACTTAGCATGAGATACTTGCAAAGGTGTAGGAATGTGACTCCGACAAATATAAGAGACTTGCCCTTTGATAGTACACATGTCAACAAACTTTTGTGCTAAACTGTTGCTCATAAGAATGCTGCGTTAGTGGAGTACGACAAGTTCCGCTTTTAGTCATCTCATCCCCTAATCAGTTGATGTTGATGTCGTTGCAAGTTTCTATATTCAAAATGTTGGGATTTTGATGGTTTTTTATGATTGAATTCATTCATATATATGTGATTTCTAGCAAGTTCTAATGTTTCTGCCAATTCAATTGCTTTAATCCGAGCACATTTGTGAATGATACTTCTCTAAGATCTTGAGTTAATGCAGTGAGGGCTTAAATAGGATTAAGATCTATCACATTTAATATGGGCTGAAAGTGAATAATAATTTTTCATACTTAGTTTTAAGAGAATTTGAGAATTCTTTAGTTGTTTCGAGTACAAGCAAATTGTGAAATGAGTAATCACCTAGATTGCAAAGTTTCTTTTACTTCCTATTAAGTGGTTTGATAACCATTTTGGTGACACCTCTTTTATTGTTGTAAAGAATAGCTAGAAATTTTATAACATCATCAATGTCTAACAATGAAATAGTTGACTCAAATTATACCACTTTTCAATTAGATTTACTTGTCCTTGTATGAATCTAATAGTGGAATTCTATTTTTTGTTATGGATTGTGTTTTGGCAAATTCTTTAGAGAATGCATTTGTTGATTGATATTTTGCTTCTCAGTTTGTTGAGATGGAGTAGATGTTTCACCACATTGTGAATAATAGCTTTCACTTTATCATTCAAGTTGAGATTAATACTATTGCACTTTGAGGTTGTCATCGTATGGAAGTCCTGACATCTTCATTCTTGGAGTGACTTTAGGAATCAGCTTTAATATTCAACAAATCATCTTAGTTATCCATTATCCAATATTGTCATCTATTTTTTGGTGGAGTCTTAGATCACCATTTTTTTGAATCCTTTTTTTTATGCCACTTTGCCACACATAGTGCGTGACCTCTAGTTTTTGGCCTCAATTTATGCTCAATGCACCTTGAGAATGTTGGAGAGAGAAAGAGAAAGAATCAAAGAGATCTAATTACTTTGAAGCAAAAAACTCTATTATTTAATTAGAATGCCAAGAGTAGAAGATTTGGGTACAAATAACGACGAGTCATAAGTTCTTTTAACTTCCTACTTAAAGTTTCAGCCCAGGGCTCATTCCTACATGACAAGCCATGCAAATAGAAAATACTTGACCAAACTTCTTGATATTAAAATATGAGATGTATAGCTTGAAATACATAAGGGCACATATTAATAATTGACTAAAACTATTACCATTTGAAGTCGCTACCTTGATGGATGAAATTGCTGATGTTTTTGAATGAATGCTGGCCAGTCACTTCTGAGCTTATGCTTGTTTAAATCATGGTTTGGGTATACTCTTGTGAGTTTGTTGTCCTGGCTTGTATAATATCTCTGTCCTTAGTATTTGGTTAACTAACCGGAATTGGGCCAACTTTGCTTGAACCGAGCTCTTGAGAAATATAAATATATGGCAATAGCTAATATGTAAGCTACCTATTTCTTCTTTCCAGTCGAGCTAAGTTAGGGAGTTTCTTGAAACCCGTATCTTGGTTTATTAGTCGCAGGATGATTACAGAGATTGTGCGCCTTTTTCATTGCTATATCATTGAGGGTTTTTTTGGTGCTTTTATTCATAAATGATGCTTCACAATGGATTCCTCATTGAATATATCATCAGCTTGGTTTACTTATTATGTAATTGCAGAAACCATTAATAATTGTTATGTGAGGTTTGAAGATTCTTTTTCTGTCAGAGTAATACCTCCTGCAATATTGGATAGAAAAAAAGGCAAGGATTGGACTTGGGCTTAGATCAATTAATTAAATGCAAACCTGAATCTTTGTAAACTATAAACACATAAATCTCAATGTAAACTTTAAGGATCATGATTTAAGTTAAATTTTGTGATAAACCGGTGATTAGTTCTCATATAAATTCTCTTTCTCCTGTCTACAACAATCATTATTAGCGTGTGAGGATGATGCTTACTGCATTTCTTTGTTTTTTCCGCTCCTGCTAATAGGTGGAAAAGCTTCCATATGCATTTTACATATCAGATCAGGAGCTTGTGGTGTCGCTTGGAGAATATCTGAGAAAGAATAAAGGTGGTTTACCTATGAATTGAACATTATTTTTTATTTGCATTTATATGCTCATTTCTCATGTATATTTGACAAAAGAGTAGCTTTATTTTGATCTTCTGAAGAATTACATTTCTATGCGATTAATGATTATACAGTGTCCGTGGAGAAGGTCTTACCAATAGTGTACCAAGCTCAAGCAATTTTTCGAATTCGTCCTGTTAATCGATGTTCTGCTACAATTTCAGGTTATTTATCTTAACATTTTTACTGCCCCTTAACCAGCTATTTCTTATATCAATCAATGTACTGTAGTAGTTGGAATCATGATGGTGATGAGGACGAGTTACTAGACTTATTTTTGTGTCATGCATTATATTTAAGAGTTTACTATTTTTTTTTTCTGATGATATACGTTTGGCATGTCTATGGCTATCTATTCAAAATAAATATACGATACAATTTTTTTTTTGATAATTTTTTAGCCTACAATTATGTTCCTTTTATCGTTGATAATCAGATAATTTAAGATGTGATTTTGGATCCAATGATCAAGCAAATTAACCTTTTTTTTTAGAACATTTCCCACATTTTTTTATAAAAATAAATTTAGAAGGTAAATAAATATTACAGCCAAATCATTATCATAGTAAAAATCACTAATTATTTGCATATATTTTCATGCGACTCTAATGATATTGTACGGGAGAACCTAAACGCATGATGTTAAATTAAAGAACATATATAGATATGTTTAGCATTGGTTTACAAAGAAAATTTTCATGCATATTATTGTTGACAATACTTAGCAAAAACATTTATTTGCCAAAGGACAATATTTTTATAAAAATCTAAATCCTTGTATAAATTTATATGATTTTATATTTAATGGGCTTGCTAAAACACGTAACAAAGTTTCTTGAGAAGGAAAAAACCACATGGAAGAGAGCGTCAATATTTAGGCATTTGCATAAAAAACCAGTCCAATGAATTTTTAAAGCAACAATCCTTCCTGTATCAAGTAAATTTGAAAAATTTTTAATGGCTGAAGTTGCATAATCCTCCCAGTGTATTAGGTTTACTTAGAAGCCAACTCTAAAAGATGTTTGAGATGAAAGCCAAATGCAATGCTTGGAGTTGAGCTGCTAGAGAGTCATTTACCCAAGAGTAGGGTGAGCTGTTGCTAAAACATATAATAAATTTGAAATTTTAAAGTCTTATTGCAAAGATTCCTTATAATTTTAAGTGGTGCACTTCCTTAATTGATCATTTATCATCTCCAAATTAGTGGGTATGTATTCATGTGAAATGCTGTAACGTGAGTAAAAGTTATGCTGTAACGTGAGTAAATTTAAAAAATAAAATAACCAATTTAATTGACACATTGCTATGTTTATGTCCCGGCTGTTATGCTGGTTGCTTTTGTAAAGATGTCAATGCTGGAAGTATATTATATGGCATAAAGAGTACACATAATCTTATTTTTTAAGCATTTGTTATACATAAATCTATCAATTATAAGGTTTCATAAAATTATTTATGAATTTTTATTAATAACCTTCATTAGCGTATTTTTGGCTAATGCTCTACATATAGGACAACTAATTTTGCTAACATTAAAAAAGCATTAACCGATATTATAGGGGATCAACATCTCTAAGAACTGGCATAAGGATGTGAATTTCCTCATTTGTATAAAGCTGGTTGGTCAAATTTAAGAGAAGAAAATAGTACATGTTTTTATGATAGACTTGGCATAAGAAATATTCTGGTTAACTATTTTGTGTGTGGTAACAAAGTCAATTTGGTAGTTCAAGGGAAATTTTTTATATAATGGCAATGCTATATATTTTTTTTGTTGCAGCGGTTTAACTTAAAGTAGCAAAGGATGATCAAGACTTATTTGTGAAGAATATTTTGTGGAAATATCTATCAAGGATGAGATGCAACATTTTTTAGATGATTTTAGTGGATATTGACAAGGTCTAATAGATGGAACATGAATTGAGGAGCTAGAATTAATGTGAAAAAGCTATGAAATGGCCAAAAAAATGTCATTAAATGCTTTAAAAAATGTACTTGAAGATGAGTTTTCACAAATGCAGTTGAATAAGTATTCATACAGCTAATTCCAAATAGTCAGGGTAAGGCACTCGTGGCTTGTAATCACGTGCATTGTGTTTTTGCATGGCTGGTGAGCTAGGAAGGACAAACCTTGAACTTATTATATCGGAGAAGGCATGAGAGTAGCTGATTTGGAAGATATTTGGGAGGGGACTAAAATGCCAAATAGTCCTCTAGCTATTTATATGGTACCATTTTAGTCTAAAAGTCTATAAAAGTGTTAACTTAGTCCTCAGACTCTTTTAACATGGGCTAAAATAGTCTTTAGGGAGGACTATTTTAGGCCCCATGAGTTGGGGACTAAATTAGCTTTTTTATAGATTCCGATATTAAAATGACCGCCTACAAAAAGTGAGTTCATTTTGACACTTTTCACGATTTGGGAATCAAACTCCGAAGGAGCTCATGGAAATATGTTTGAGATGTTGGTATTTAGGGTTTAGGGTTTAGGGTTTAGGGTTTAGGGTCAATGATTCACTGCTAAGGTGAGGGAACCAAATACTTTGCAGAAACATTATTGAGATCAGACTAGATCCATCAGTTCACATTAAAAGTCAGTGAAGAAAGATAATAAGTGATATGCAAGTAGTTGATTAGTTAGGATGGCCAATTGATTGAACATGATATATATTTTTTAATGCATATTATTGTCGCACTATTATTTTTATATAATATTTGCATGTATCTTTAGGAAGGAACAACAGTTTTGTAGCAACTGTTCCATTTAAGAAGATTTTCTTTGGTTTTAGTATTTAGCTATAAACTTTTTTTTATCTAACTAGATGGATTTTGCGCAAATATTCATTTATCTGATATGATTTTATGTTAATTGAGTTCATTCATAGGGTAATTGCATATTTACACAATTTATCATTTATGTTATAAAGGTTTACTTGATGTGATGAGAGGTGCAAACTTGTACCATGAGTAGAATGCTCTCCATCTAAATTTTGTTACAACATCTGGGACGCTCTTTGAACTTGAAAAATAAAATAAAACAATTTATATGCTTATTTATTCTTTCACAAATTTCAATTATGTAATGCTTTTTTTGAAATTGAAATGTCGTAGAGAAGTAATGTTGCTTCTTTTGACCTCCTTTGCAGGTCACACAGAAGCAGTACTTTCTGTTGCTTTTAGTCCTGATAGCAGAAACCTTGCAAGTGGATCTGGTGATACAACTGTAAGATTGTGGGACCTTAACACTCAGACACCATTATACACTTGCTCAGGTAAATTTTCTTTTCTAGCTTCTATCTTCAATTTCTTATTATCTTTTAAAGATTCGGGGTGGTGTGTTCAACTTGCTGTAAGTCGAGTGCTTAAGTTTTTCTTTGTTTGGCCCTTCAAGGATTAGATAAATCACATAAACGACCTAAGTATTTTAACCCTGTATTAACTGTGCTATTAAGCAAAAAAATAAAATTATGTTCAATTTTGCATAATGAATATGTATACAAAGCCTGACACATATTGTATGCATAATAGTAATTACCTCTTATACAAATCTTCTACTAATAATGTTTTAAGAAACTGCTAGAAATGAAATTAATTTTAAAATTTTACTGCAAAATGAGTCTAGTGTTGACAAATTGAAAATTTCAGAAAATCTTGGTGTACATTCTTTTTTTAATATGCCTGATTTTATCTTATGTCATAATGCTGCTACCAAATACTTTTTTTGGCCTTTTGTCTCCAACTCCTCTTTGTGAATTTATTTTCAATACTCTGCAAAATATGTCAATGCATAGTGAGTTCTTATGGTTATCCTGTATAGGGAGATTTTGTCTATTATTGATAGTATATTTTTGGTTGATGCTAGTGCACTGGTGTGACATGCTTGCTTCTGAGAACTCATGAAATACAAAAAATAATTTTCTTTTTTTTTTTTTTTTTGCTTAAAGAGTTTCAGAAGTTTGATTCTTCTGACTTGAATTTTTTTAAGCTGAATAGGTTGATGTGGAGTTGTTGCCTTTAGGTGGTGTTTAGCCATATCCATTTCCTTGGGAGATGGAATTTGGCATTATCCACATGAGTTGTGCTCAATTGTGACATTATTTTCCTCAAGCAGTGACTTTTAGATCTATCTCCCTTTGAATTGGTTTAGGCGGTTTTGACTAGCTTTTTTTGTATTATATTGCGATGAACCCAAGCCAATGCTTTAGGTAAAAGTTTGCTTGGGATAAGACTTGTCAAGAAATTATAGGGCAAACTTTTATGAATCATTAATTATCATTTTTTTGTATTAAGTCATCTCAGGTATTTATGAGGGAGTAATGATTTATATTAGAAATAATTTTTTAGAGTGACGAAGAGTCTTGAATCATAGTAGGATTAAATAAACTTAAAAACTATTTCTTTTTATATTGTTAATGGAGATGCTTATAACATATAATCAAAGTTGAGCATCATGTTTTTTTTTCTAAATTGTTTATGACGTGTTGATGGGCGAGGCATCTCTTATAGGTGAAAAGTTTAAACAGTATAGAAAATTTTTATAAGATAACAACTTGGGTTTAGTAGAAGAAACTTTGAGCGTATGATTCATAGTTTTAGTGAATATTAAACTATACTCATCAATATTATTGAAGAATCTAGTGATATGTATGCATGTTAGATGAAATCTAGGACTTTTTAAATATTGTAGTGATATCCATGAGGACATAACTTTTTAGAATTAAAGATGGGTGGTTAAAAAAAGAAAAGATGAAAACAATACATAGTGTTTGTGTAATAGAAGGATATGATGTAGGCTTAAAAAGCTAATTTTACAACACTGCAGTTTGAATGGCTTTGTTATATGGATTTGTCTTGGGCAATAGCTAAGTTTTTGCTAGCTAAGATGAGTTGTGGTTGAAATGAGAATGAAAAGATGAACTAGAAAATAGAGTTAGCATTTTGTTAATGTGACAGTTTAGGTCTTATTTGCTTGTGGCTAAATATTGTCTTTTATGCATTTTCTTTGTTTTATATTCCTGTGGTATTTTCTCCTTTTCTCTAGTTGCACTTGCTTTTGAAGTTGTTTGTGTTTCTGGAAAAAAAAAAAATCAATTGTTCTATTTAGTCTCATTATGTTTTATTAATGAAGGAGTTTGGAATGGTCTTATATACCATTTTTTTCATTTGAAAGTATGGGGTCTTGAATATTTGCTTATCTTGTTATTTAGGACATAAAAATTGGGTTCTATCTATAGCATGGTCGCCAGATGGAAAACATCTCGTGAGTGGCAGCAAGTCCGGAGAGCTTCTACTATGGGATCCTCAAACTGGGAAACAATCTGGCAATCCACTTATGGTAAGTTCTACATGATAATTCCTTTTGGTCCGGTTTGATGCATTTTATTTCATAGTTATAAATTTGGCATTTTTTCTTAACATTAGTTTGCAGTTTTCTAATCAATCGCAACGTAAGTTTTTGGAGTATCATTGTATAGATTTTACAGTTTTTCATCTAAGTTGTATCTGTTGATAATCAAAAATACAGAGAACAGATGATAATAACTTTTTTACCGCAGCTTAAAAAATTAGAGTACAAGGAAAGCCTTATTTATCGTGGCCGAACAACTTTCTTTTTTAGTTAATAGCTAGCATACCTTATTGAATCTTTCTTCAAAGAAAATATGAAAGGTGGACAAATTCTACTCATAATCCCTTTTCTAACATGGCATCCAATTACCGCATTTAATGCCTGAATACTTGAATTAGGAGATTGAAGCAATATGTTCCTTCCGCTGTTTGCCAGTCATTTGAAGGGATGCAGTGTGTAGGAAAGACTTGTGATCCCTCCCTAAATTTCTCTTTGATGAAGTGTCGATTTATTTCAAAATTTTTATTTTTTTCTAAATTTCAAGATATTTTGTTTGTCTTGTTGGCAAGATTTTTTGCAATAGTATGAAAGCTTTATAATCACGTAATAGATGCATGGATTTTTCAAGTTAAATTCTTAATTTCTCAAGGTACCTTCTAAGTCAAAATTCTTCACCTACACCAAGAAACATAGCCCGAAACTATACTTCAAGTTTGCTTCTTGCTACCGGAGTTGTTTCTTGCTGCTCTTATTTCCCCTACGAAGTTATCATAATTGGTGGTTGATCTTTCCCTTTAGGCATGCCAAGTATTGATGGATGGCATTTAGATGTTCTTTATTTGGTTATTCAGGAAGTTGCTCACCATACTGATTGAGAACCGAATGTTGGGTCCTGTGCATGAGAGAGAGTTGAGTTTTTCTACAACCCTTTTGATATCCTTCTTTATTTACATCTGGACTTTTATCATCAATGGCAACTTCTTTAGTGGATCCAAGGTGTGCGAAATGGCAAAAACTTTAGAGTCAAACATTCCCATCTCTTTTAGGAAGTTTTGAAAATAGTTTCTTTGGCAATCATATAACTTTTTTGTGTTCTAGTAACGTCCATGCTGAGGAAGTAGTTGAGTTGTCCAAAATATTTAAGTTCAAATTCTTTGCTAGAAGATTATTTTTTTTTTTCTTTTCATAATCTCCGATATTATGTCATCCACCTATATAGCGATGAAAACAATTTTTCATCTGTGTTTTTTACTAAAACATTGTGTGATCGATTTGGCTTAATAGTAAGTATTTTTTCTTCAACTTTAGTAAATTCCTCAAACCGGGTATGTGAAAATTGTTTTAGGTTGTATAGGGATTTTTGAAGTTTACATGTCCGACTAATGTTACCCTACTTTTTGAAACATGGGAAAGTGCTTGTTTTGAGTCATCATTGAGAAATCATTATGAACAAATGTTTCTTTTTAGTTTATGATGTAGTGACCAATCATTGTTTGCTGCTAGAGATAACAATATCGGATCAAATTAAGTTTGGCATTATGAACAAATGTTTCTTTTTAGTTTATCCCATAAGATTTAGTGTATCCGTCAGCAACAGTGTGCTCTGAGTATTCATTATTCCTTGAAACAAGTGATGTTGTTCCCTTTTGGTTATTAAGTGATTTCCTACTCTTTGTTTCTTGACAATGCCCATATTTCTTTTAAAACAAGCACTTCCACAAAGTTTGGTTGAGAGCATCTTGAATATTTCTTGGGATTTGAATTTTAGTCAGACTTGTGGCAAATGCTTGAAATTTATTAGACAACGTTTTAAAGGATACGATATTTTGGAATGGTGCTATGTAAGAGACGAAGTACTCTTATTTTGGGCAATACGAGGATTTATATTATTTTAAGGTTCATTGTTGCCCATGTGTTTTGCTTATACAACTTTATGGTGTTTTAAGGATTTCAAGATTTGATTCAGAATGTAAGTTTAGTTTATGAGGATTGTAGTTGCTTTGTTTTCTTTTCCAAGGGCTACCAATCAAATCTTTGTTAGATTCTCCTTGAGTATTTCTCTGATATGGGCTTTAGTTATTATTCTAGCTAAGCTAGGTTTGAGTAGGGATGATAGTAGACCTAATATTATAGTAAGCTTGGATATCAAGAATAATAGGTGGAGTAAAAGTTTTTCCTAATGTTGATATTTCTTGGTGGTGTGGTTCACCCTTTTAATCGAAGATTTGTGATAATAGGGTTGATTTTGAAAGAAATTCATATCCGTAGAGGTTTTGAATTTTTTATTGTTATAGGTGAATAGCACTATACTGTTTGTTATTTGGAGAATATCCCTAGATTGTACATTGTAGAGATTTGGTGTCAAGTTTGTTTTAGAATTAGTATTGTATGTATATAAGTGTTGTGCAACTGAAAATTTGGATAGAATGGTGGATGAGATATGAATTGTTGGATACAATTCATGGATCTTTACACGGCATTTTGAAGTGCACGACATGATATATATATATATATATAATATTATATAGCGACACACACACGATGCATTGTCTTGCTCTGCTAGGGTTTACTCCTCCCTTCGCGACTCCATGGCGATGCGGGTAGCCGCAGTGGTTCGTAAACTCCTGCTCGAAGAAGAAGGGTGGGGGATCGCGTCGCCATGCTTCGGCCTCTCGTTTGCTTCGCTTCGCTCTTCGATATCATTCTTTAGATCATGTCATTTTCTGGATCGTCTCACGAGCTCACTGGGAAGATAGCGGCGGAACTGTAGCTTGCACAGTGCCGTGATCAATCTAGCGACGTCCGCTTGATCCCTGCTCAGCGTATTGAGCAGCAAAGAGCTCCGGTTCGATCGCGTCATTTTCTCGATCGTCTCACTAGCCTCACTGGGAAGGTAGCAACGGAACTGCAGCTTGCACAGTGTCGTGTTGCAATCCTTCCTGTGACGTGTCGCTTCATCCCTGCTCGGCGTATCGAGCAACAAAGTGTTTCGGTTGAAGTCACAACTGAAACTCAGGAGCTTGTCGCTGTTCAACTACTCCCTTCCATGGCTATTGCTCATTCTCGACCACGGACTACTACAGTTTTAGACTTTAGGAAGGATTCTTTTGTTGATATGGTTGGCTCTATGAGATTAGATCAGGCTTTCCCTCAGGTTTACTATGAATCATTCGAAGGTCAGGAGGACTGCAATCTTATCAAGAAGACGGGTAGGAAAAGTAACAAACTAACTCTATTCTTCTATGATGTTGAAGTTTCCAACCTAGTTAACAAGTTCAAATTCACCCTCATTAGGATGTTCGAATCGGGACATCCCAAATGGAAATCGTTCGAAAGGCTTTTGAAGATCTCAAACTATTGGGACTTTGGAAGGTTGGGACTTTGGAAGGGACTTTGGAAGGTTGGCCTCTTTGATGGGAGGCGTGTGATGATACAATTATCTAAAGTGGAAGATTATGCCAAATTATTTTCCAAAAAGTTTATGACAATAGAGGGAAAGTATATGAAACTGTTTAAGTGGTCTTCTGAAATTGACTCTAGTCAAGAACCACCTATAGCTCCAATCTGGTTTAAACTACCTGACCTAAAGTTGCACTACTTCAACCACCAAGTCCTCTACTCTATGGAGCTGCACAAGGGAGACCTGTGAAATTGGATACACCCATCTTCAATCTAACCAGGCCTTCGGTTGTAAGAATTCTTGTTGAAGGGGATATCACCCTTCCTGATGTGGACGAAATATGGCTTGGTACTACTCACAATGAATATTGACAGCCAATTATAGCAGAATAAAGACTCTATTACTGCAAACACTGTAAACTGTTTGGGCACACCCCTGTCAAATGCTTCAAGCTTCACTCACATTTGAGATCGGCAATAACTAACAATATCATTCATGTGGAGGAAAATATAGCAGACACTGTTAATCTTTAATCTATCTTCCAGAAATGTTGAATGAGAATTTGACTCATAAGGCTACTCCTCACTAACCAGACCAACAACTTCTGCCTACTGTTGTTGAGGCAACTCTTCCTCAGATTACAAATTCTACGAATTTTATTGTAGCTGATGCTAACCGAAGTGTCTTGGAACCACCTATTGCGAGATAAGAGGGTACTCAAGTTATAGAGAAGTGTTAGGATCAAGGTGTGTTGCAGGCTGAGTCAGATCAGCAGTTTACCTCCATCCAAGATCCACCTATTGTTCACACGTGATTACCTCTGACAGATGATTGACAGATTTACAAATCTAAGAGGAAGATGAAATGAATGCCAGTTCTTAGTAACTCTCAGGATGACTGTATCATTTTTTCGGGAGGAAACCCATATCTCAGTATGTTGCTGGACTCCCTCCCTAGATTCAGGGGAAGAAGAAGCGGTAAGTCCACCGACTACACCCATCATGATTAGGATTTGTTTTTTTTTTTGGGAATACGTTTGTAATCCTTATGAGTGGGCTCTTTGTACCCACTCACTAAAACTTTTGTATCCTCTCTTTTTTATCAATCAATTTTGAGCTTTCAATATGTCGCAAACCTTGGCCTGTTGGTGGCGGGGTCATTGTAAGTCCCATTAGGTCAAGGGTTCGATCCCACCGTGGCGTGGGGGCTTTGGAATATTAGGTGCATGGCGCAGACGCCATATCATAGGTGCCCGAGCCAAAGGGGAAGCTGTATTTTTGGCCCACCGGACTCAAATACTATTTCATTTTTAGAAATATATATATATATATCCTTTTCTCATATATATATATATATATATATATATTAGTTCATTTTGTTTGGGGTGTCGACACATTCTGTGAATTACCACTTCTTTTAAGAGGTATTCCCCATTGATAGAGTGATAATAATCTCTTCTATTATCAATATTAATAACTTGAACTTTTTATTGAAATTGGGTTTGTATCATGTTATAAAAATTTTGAAGATTTGTCAACCTTTTTTTATTTCATAAAGAAGTTTTAACTATTATGTTGTGATCATTATG